ATATATATATATATATATATATATATATAGCTTCAAATATTCTAAATAATTACTGTGAATGAATGGACCAATCACAAATTAACAAAAATTAAATAATTTATTAAATTAATAAGGGTAATTTGGTAAATGAATTATAAATCAATTAACTGAATTTAAAATTATAGCCTATAAACTTGGTAACTTTGTTTGAGATTAACCCTATTTATCCATAATCGCTGTCACGCCATTACTGGGTCTTCGTCCTCCCTCTTAAGAGTCGGCACATAGGCCTTCATCATCGGAATTGGTCTGTAACAATGACATCCAAAATCGAATTGCAGCCGTTACTTATTATCTATATGTATAACCAATCATGGATTTAGAGAAAAAAGTGTATTGGTGGTCAAAATTGACACGGCGAGAATGAGAATTATCAAGTAAGTCACATGCATTTTCTTTTCCTTTATTAATTGTTTACATGAACAAAAGAATTTCATATTGAACTGGTGTTGAATGAGATTAAAAGTTTCATGTAAATTCTTTTGGTAGAGGTAGTCTTCAATTTGCATCTTCCAGAAACGGAAATCTTTTCCATTGAACTTGTCGATCTTAACTCTCCCGTCTTCAGCCATAACTCTGATACCAGTTTTTTGGGTGACAACAAAATAAGTTAAGCACTTCAGACAAATATAAAAAAAAACTTCGGTGAACACACAATACTTCTGAAAAACGTAAATCAAATGAACATGATATTAAACTTGGTTCGGTGAAGGTGACCTATGTCCACGGACGAACTAGAGAGAGAGAGAGAGAGAGAGAGAGAGAGAGAGAGAGAGAGGATTTTATTAACTTTATTGAACTATTACAAGCACTCAAAATTGTATCTCACTTTGAATTCTCATAGAAATCTAGTAATTTACAATGATGGGGGTATGAGCCTATTTATACTTGAGGGATAATACCTAAAACCCTAATAGGCCAAGTCCATTGGCCCATAGGCACATGAATGGTGACAACCAATCATATTCCACCATGCAAAATCTTATGGAACATGCTTCCATTTCATACAACCCATGAGTATCAACAACACACATGATGGACCTCCTTGACCATAGTGGAGCATCATGATGCACAGGTGGCGCACATGAACACTATTAGTCTAAAATTCATCATGATGGCACTACATGGTGTAAACCTTGAACAATACCAACTTCTGAGCATCTTTAAACGATCTTGATCATCATAGTGGACTTCATAGCATACTTGGCTTATCAAAGACCAAGATGGTCCATCTTGCGCCATCATGCCGCAACAGGAATATGGATGGCGCAAGTGGCTTTAAGTGTGGCACAAGAATATCAAGATTTGAGCAAAAACACCACCATGGCACAATAGGAACATGCATGGCGCAACAAGGCCATGCATGACACAAGAGCATACCTTATGGCGCAAGAGGAGTACCCATGACAAAAGAGGGACCATTATGGAACAAGAAGGAATTCCATGGAGAAAGAGCATCATCCTTGGACCATCCCTTTAACATATGGCGCAACAAGATCACCCTGTTGCTCCATATCACTCCCAAGCGCTCCAAACCTTTTGCGTGTGCTTGAAACCCCCTTCTACATGATCTGTTCCTTTGTCAGACGATCCATTCCTTTCTTAGATGATCCGTTCTTTTGTCACATGCATCATGAACCGCAAGTGCTCTATTGTGATCTAAGTTCTCCATGTTGGACAAGACTGAAGGGTTTTGTTGTATAAAATAAATTGTGTTTCACAAAAAACCGGCAACGGAAGTTTTAAAGTTTCTTATAAATTTCGAGTGTGACAACAAAACAAACCATCAAGGATCCTTTTAAAGAGGTTAGAATGATATTACAACAACCATAGGGTGTTTAGAAATAACAACCTTTGTAGCCTTTGGACCCTTTCGGATTTGGGGTGTTGAAGTAGATGGCAAGAACAAGAAGCTTGATCTTCTCTACAAGTAATCTACCAACAATAATAAGGTACCAAAATTGCTAGATTTCTTCTTGTACAACTTTGTTCTTTAAGCCTTAAGTACTTAAACAATTAAGCACTTGAAGGAAGACACAAAGTAAGCACCAAAAGCAAGTAATGTCTTCAAAAGAGGAAAAGGCTTTAAGCTCTATGTTGCTCATGGTTTAGAGAGAAATGGAGAAGATTTTTGGAACAAAAACTTGAACCATATTCATGTAAGAGACCCTCTATTTATAACCCCATCCAAGCATGGCCTCTTGAATATTATATTTAAAAGTACGGGCTATAAAGGGAGGCATGGGGAACATTATGATGGAGGTTGACAAGCAACCTCTTGTTGGGTTTTATATACTACAACATCCTATGGTGCACATACAAACCTAAATGCCTTGGATCTATGTTTTCTCTAATTATACATGCAATATGGTTTCCAAAGCATTAAGCCTGCAACTAGCATACAATTTACATAAACAACATAAAATACTAGTTAGGAGTTTACCTCTTTATGTAGCTTGTAGAACTTGTTGTATTTGGCCTTTAAGAACTTAGTGCCCCAAATGTTGCACCTCAAATGGTTCACAACACACCTTAGACAAAGGATGACTTTTGAGAGAGTTTATGCACACTAAAATCAGTTATGGCTCTCCAAGAACACTCTAGTAAAACTTATGCCACCAATTTTAGGCTATAGGGTGTCATATATATAGTGTAGGAATCCAAGAGTCATGGTTAAACCCTAATCCATACACTTGAGCTTATTATCCATGATCCATGATTCAAGTGGGCTAACTCTTTATGGA